CTCCTCCTCCTAGCAAAGGCTGGTTATTTTTCCAAAATTTGAATTCATACAATTTAATTAAAATATTGCAAAATATAATTTCTCGACTGTATTGGCCTGCATAAAAAAACTCCAACTTTATTTGCATATTTACAAGAATATTTGCATTAATTAGAGAGCTCAATATGAAGGCAGAAAATGCAAAAATGGAATTGGCACACAAAAACAACGCTTTGATCAAAGCAGAAACAGACGTGAAAATATCAAAGGAAATAATTAAGAAAGAAAGCTTTGTCTGTGTGTCTGTTTGTCCGTTTGTATCCAAAAAGCGTCAAAACGGTTCTAACCGATTGGGCGAACATTTTTTTAGGGACATTGCATGATCCCGGGGAAGGTTAATGAATGCTCAAAATTACAAAAATTTGTGTCTAAAAGTTTTTGATTTTTGTAAACTTCTGAAAATGTTATTGCTTTATTTTGTACAAAGAGAAGATGATTGATATTGAACTAACTATTGATTATAACTAATTTATATTGTAATTTACAACAAAATAATTTTACAAGGAAAAAAGGACAAAAACTGGGTTCAGCTAAAATTAAGCAAAACACTGAGACTTCATAAATTTTCGTTAACATCATTTTCGTTTAAAAAAAGATAAAAACATAAAGTAAAATAGGAATTCATAAAACATTGGTAAAATTGACATAAATTAGTCGTCACAAATTCTAATTTGTTAAATCATATATCTTTGCAATCTGATGTTGTCACTTGTAACTTTGATATTATTTCAAACATTAGATTATGCTAGATCAAAGAGTCTGAGTTTGAAAAATAACAGTGTTTAGTTTTTTGTTTTGTTTTTTCTCTACGCGTCTAAGCTTTGATTCAAATTGAATGAATCTAATTTGTTTAAATTGCATTTACTTATTCATTCTATGTAAAGTTTGTTAAAAGTTTCGGCTTAGGTTCATAAACTTAATTATTGTTTAGAAACTAGTGAAAAAATACGAAGAAGTTTCTGGTTCTCTTCAGGAGAAACTTCTTCAACTAACCAGGGATAAAGCAGAACTCCAAGTTCAAGCCAGGTACAGCAGGTTCAAGTACTCCAGGTTCAAGCTAGGTACAGCAGGTTCAAGTACTCTAGGTTCAAGCCAGGTACAGCGGAATCAAGTACTCCAGGTTCAAGCCAGGTACAGCAGGTTCAGGTACTCCAGGTTCAATCCAGGTACAGCAGATTCAAGTACTCCAGGTTCAAGCTAGGTACAGCAGGTTCAGATACTCCATGTTCAAGCCAGGTACAGCAGGTCCAAGTACTCCATGTTTAAGCCAGGTACAGCAGGTTCAGGTACTCCAGGTTGAAACCAGGTACAGCAGGTTCAGTTACTCCAGGTTCAAGCTAGGTACAGAAGATTCAGGTACTCCAGAACCAAGCCAGGTACAGCAGGTTCAAGCACTCCTGGTTCAAGCCAGGTACAGCAGGTTCAGGTACTCCAGGTTCAAGCCAGGTACAGCAGGTTCAGGTACTCCAGGTTCAAGCTAGGTACAGCAGGTTCAGGTACTCCAGGTTCAAGCTACGTAGAGCAGCTTCAGGTACTCCAGGTTCAAGCCAGGTACAGCAGGTTCAGGTACTCCAGGTTCAAGCCAGGTACAGCAGGTGCAAGTACTCCAGGTTCAAGTACTCCAGGTTTAAGCCAGGTACAGAAGGTTCAGGTACTCCTGGTTAAAGCTACGTAGAGCAGCTTCAGATACTCCAGGTTCAAGCTAGGTACAGCAGGTTCAGGTACTCCAGGTTCAAGCCAGGTACAGCATGGTTCAAGTACTCCAGGTTCAAGCCAGGTACAGCAGGTACAAGTACTCCAGGTTCAAGCCAGGTACAGCAGGTTCAAGTACTCCAGGTAGGATAATATAGTAGTCCAGGTACTCCAAGTGGAAGTATATAGTGATCCAGGTACTCCAGGTAGGAGTATTTAGAGATAGAGATAGATAAAGTTTATATTAACAGTACAAGCATAAAGCAATTAGGTGGAAAATAGCTCTTGACTGTTATGATTATTTTTTCCACCTAATTTCAAAAATGATACCAAAATATTTCAATAAAATAATGGTCCAGGTACTCCAGGTAGGAGTATATAGTGGTTCAGGTACTCCAGGTAGGAGTATATTGTGAACCAGGTACTCAAGGTAGAAGTATATAGTGGTTCAGGTACTCCAGGTAGGAGTATAAAGTGGTCCAGGTACTCCGGATAGGAGTATGTAGTGGTCTAGGTACTCCAGCTAGGAGTATATAGTGGTCCAGGTACTCCAGGTAGAAATATTTAGTTGTCCAGGTACTCCAGGTAGGAGAATGTAGGAGACCAGGTACTCCAGGTAGGAGTATATAGTGGTCCAGGTACTCCAGAAAGTAGTTTATGATGGTTCAGGTATTCCAGGTAGGAGTATATAGTGAACCAGGTACTCCAGGTAGTAGTAAATATTAGTCGAGGAACTCCAGGTAGGAGTAGTGGAATAAACTCCGGGCACAATTAAAGTAGAATTCTACTTTTTAATTTTCTCAGATTAAGATTGGGTTGTATCAGGGAACTTATAATAATCATAAATAACAGGATTTAAAGCTGGGTTTAATCTAGGAGGACTGCTGAATCTCTAGAAGCAGCTCAAGCTGAACTAGAAGCTGCTAAACAAGAAGCTGATGTTCAGTCTAAACTGGCAAAACAGCGAAAGATGGCAGGTTAGAATTGAAAGCTTCTAATAGGTTTTATGTTTACTAAATTTGGACAAATTGTTCTTTGTAAAAGATGGCTGTTTTACAAAGAAAATGAATTTTACGATGTGTTCTGAAAATGAATTTTACGATGTGTTCTGAAAATGAATTTTACGATGTGGTCTGAAAAGGAATTTTACGATGTGTTTGAAAAGGCTCTTGAATTTTGAATTTAAAAGATATATTTAAAACAAATATGTTATAAATTTAACAGCTCGAAGCATTTCTATATAGTGTCTTTAGTTTTCGTTTGAACATCTTAGAAAATACTAAATCTCAGTTTTATTTTAGAAATGTTTGTTCAAAACTAATTTTATTGTTTGTCATTTTGCCAGTTTGTACAGTGTCCCACTAAACATGAAAGTTTTATGACGACCTATATATCGTCTTTGATAAGAATTAACATTGTAATGTCGAATTTCAAAATTCATAATAAACCATAATCGGCTTGTATATCGAGCATATTTTATGTTAACAGTGCAAGGCTTTAAGTTTGTAATTCTGCAAAAGTAATCAGTAATCAGTATAAAAGAAATTAACTCTACAGCAGACGAAGAATTCTACGGATAGCAGCTATATTTACAAAGTAAGCCACTTCAAGATGTGCACGTAAGATTGAGCAGTATTTTGCCAATTACTCCATTTAAACTAAACCTAGAAACAGGCGCGTTGCAATTTTGTATATGTCTAGGGCTACAAAAGTAAAAGTAAGATGGTGCAAGGTAAAACTAAAGGCCAAGACATTGCGACACTTTAAACTCGAGGTTGTCTAAAAATTTGATGACCAACTTTGTCTGCATTGATCAATAACAATACAGACACAACACTAGATGTCATATTTTCAAGATTTAAGGGTTTCTCGTTCACAATAACCCTGAGGTAGAAGCTCAAAGGAGTTACGCGCAGGCAGCGTTGAATGACGACAGATAGAGAGCATGCGTATAACTCCTTTGGGTTTCTGCCTCAGGGTTATTGTGAACGAAAAACCCCTAAATCTTGAAAAGACGACATCTAGTATTATATCTGTAGTTGTCTGGATCTAAGTGAGGCATCACACTGTACCGAATCAAAAATCATTTACACAGAGGATCTCCAAAATGTCACATGATTCCCATGTTTATTAGATCACCCTGTAGGAACATCTCCAATATTTTAGGACGGATAGCAGAGCGGGAGAGAGGTGAAGATTCAATTCTTCTCAACAAACTTCAAATTAAGGTGTTTATTTTTAAATTGTAAACATGGAACAACAGTTTTGATTGGGTTCATTCAATGTTGATAAATAAAATACAAATACAGTACATGGTGATGGGATTTTGGGGTTTGTTTTAGTTTATAACAAAGAGAACCCAAGAGGAGGGAGGGAGGGGGGCACCCCATTTATTTTCTTAGACAAGTATAAAATGCTAGGCTTTTAGGGCGCTTCGCGCCCATCTTCTCTTTAAATTGTGAACATGTACTTTTTGTTTACATTTTAAAACAAAGAAGAAAAAAATTTTAATCGTATCTTTCTCTCTTTCTTTGCAAATTCCATATTTATTTAATTTTGCTTTTCAATTTTTTATGGAAAAATTCAGTATTAGCTACATAGAAAATGATTTATAATGAATGAATAATAAATATAATTTAATGGAATTCAATTTAGAGTTTTTTCCTTTTAATGTCTGAAAACAGTAACCAAACTTTAAATTGAATTCACAGGCAATATTTTTATCAATAACACCGACAACTTTAATTCTCCTGACTTGACACACAAGATATCTAAAATGGGGTTCGGGTGCTAAAGTTAAGTAGGTTATAAAACACGGGGACGAATTTAATGAATTTGAGATACGTCGCTATATTACCTACTGCCGGTTCAAATTTGAACCATCGATTCATAGCTAAAGATTTAGAAAGGCGTTTAATCGATGATTCAAATTTGAACTGGTGATGGGAAGTTCATCATTCCCAAAAATTCATTAAATTCGGCTGGGGTCGGACTGAACTAAAAAAGCCGCTATCTAAAACTATAAAGTATAAATAAAAACCAATAAATAAACCAAGAACAGGTTTACATAAAAATTCTAAGGCAGTTTCTAAGGTATGCATGCAATCATGCTCAGGCCGAGTTTTGCTTTTATTTCTCCCAGATACTGCAGTACGCTTTTGTGTTTATAAAGATATGTGATTTCCTGGTATATTCTCCTTGAATACTACCAAATATTTCCTGGTATATTCATCTTAAATGGAATTATATATTTCCTGGTATATTCTTCTTAAATGGAATTATATATTTCCTGGTATATTCGTCTTAAATGGAACTATGTGTTTCCTGGTATATTCTTCTTAAATGGAACTATGTATTTCCTGGTATATTCTTCTTAAAAGGAACTATATATTTCCTGATATATTTTTCTTAAATGGAACTAAATATTTCCTGGTATATTCTTCTTAAAAGGAACTANGGGGGGGGTCAAGAGGTCTTTATTCCCCCAAAATTTTATTTTCCCGTCTGCACAGCACCCCTCACGTATTAAAAGTATATGGGGCGGAGTAAAATTTTGATTAACTTTCATCATAATCTAACTTATACCAAGCATTACAAGGAAAACAGGATAGATGGTAAAATTTGAAAGAGAAAAAGGATAAAAGGGAAAGAGGGAAAAGATAGAAGAGAAGAGAATATAAACATCTCTTAAAGGAGAAAGAAGAGAGAGAAAGGTTAAAAGAAGAGGATTGAGAGAAGACAAACTAGAGGAGAAAAAAAGAGAAGACAAACTAGAGGAGAAAAAAGAGAAGACAAGGTAGAGGAGAAAAAAAGAGAAGACAAGCTAGAGGAGAAAAAAGAGAAGACAAGCAAGAGGAGAAAAAAAGAGAAGACAAGCTAGAGTAGAAAAAAGAGAAGACAAGTTAGAGTAGAAAAAAAGAGAAGACAAGCTAGAGTAGAAAAAAGAGAAGACAAGTTAGAGGAGAAAAAAGAGAAGACAAGTTAGAGGAGAAAAAAAGAGAAGACAAGCTAGAGGAGAAAAAAAGAGAAGACAAGCTTGATGAGAAAAAAGAGAAGACAAGTTAGAGGAGAAAAAAGAGAAGACAGTATTTGGAGGAGTTGCGGAGAAGACGAAGAGGTAAAAGGAAAGAGAAACAGAAGATACAGAGAAGTGGAAAGAGGTAAGAGAGAAAAAAAGAGAAGACAATATTTGGAGGAGTTGCGGAGAAGAAGAAGAGGTAAATGGAAAGAAAAAGAGAAGCTATAGAGAAGTGGAAAGAACTAAAAGAGAAGAAGAGGAAAGTTGGAAGAAGAACAATAAACCATAGAAGAAATACAAAAAGAAAATGTGGAAAACAGAATTTAAAACATAGAACAGAAAAACGGAAAGAGAACATCTAAGAAAAGAGAGAGGAGGGAAGATGCACATAGATTCAGCCTCCTTATAAAAAGTCTCATCAATTTTTAAGACTGGGCTGACTTTGAAGTGTCGCAACGCCCTAAGCTTAGATTTTACCGCTCTAACTCACTTATGCTTTTTTGTAGCCCTTTACATGTACATTTTAGCACTATAAAGCACTTCTTGTTAGATTTGGTTTTTTAGAAGTAAATGGCAAAATTCTCAACGATTTTTGTTTGAGAGCGTGAGACCATTAAATCGCAGTGGATGATTAGGGCTGCGAGATGGGGGGGGGGGGCAAGAAGCGAAAAAAAATAATGATATAAGGAGCAAAGAAAAAAAGGGAAAAGATCATTGAACACATTTTTGACTTCTAGGACACGAAAGTTTAAAATCTGAAATGCAGAAGTTTATGACTACATTTTCTCAAAACTATCTTGGTGATAAAAATTAGGACTTTTTACCAAATGCTTTTTTGATTTTGACTTTAATGGCTGTCACCCGAAGTTTTTAAAATTTCTTCCGAATAGGTTCGAGAAATGAGACTTAGCATGGGAAGAAGAATTGAAGAGCTGGAGAAAGAACTTGACAAAAAAGACATCAAGTTCCAGGATTACAAGTCTAGGACAGATACATCTATACGGTTAGTAGAAGGGATACATCTATTTGGTTAGGAGGACGGATACATCTATTCGGTAAGTAGGACGGATTCACACATAAAGTTTGTAGAACGGATACACACATTAAGTTTGTAGAACGGATATATTTCTAGTTGGGAATCCTTTACAATCTCTTCACGCTCCATTCTTTCTCGCAGTTAGAAAAGATTTCCAAGAAATTAGCTGGAATTAGTTTCTTTAAAGGGAGTGTTCGCGAAAAATGAAAGGGGGTATAGGCTTAATGCGATAAAAAAGCGCTTTTGATCGCTACTAATCTTACTTCTATCTGTTGCGTCTATAAGGAGAAAATTGTTAAAAACGACTCACACCGAAGAACGAAGAGTTCATACAAATTCAGAAAGATGCAACATTCAACTCGGATCGTAAAGAAATCTATTTAATTCCCAACAAATTATCCAGATATTACAAACAATAGTCATCGATTATTTTTCGACGCATTCGTAAATAGTTGATATTTCATAATATTTTGTATTTTTCATGATTTGAGAGTTACATTTTTTCCTGTTTCGAGGATTTTTGATAATGAAGACGACATTTTCATATTTTCCAGGAATGTTCGAAAATCCAGCGCCAGCGAAAATTAATCTAAAAAACAAAATCAAAAATATTATGAAATATTAACTATATATGAATGCGTCGAAAAATAACCGATTACTATTGTTTGTAATATCTGAATGATTTGTTTGGAATTAAATTGATTTGTTTACGATCCGAGTTGAATGTTGCATCTTTCCGAATTTGTATGGGCGCTGCGTTCTTCCGTGTGAGTCGTTTCTAACAATTTTCTCCTCATAGAAGCAACAGATAGAAGTAAGATTAGTAGCGATCAAAAGCGCTTTTTTATCGCATTAAGCCTATACCCCCTTTCATTTTTCGCGAACACTCCCTTTAACTTTATATCCAGCATGAACATTCTTTTCAAGGTTCTACTATTGAGAATGAGATTTAATTTTACTCTCATTTTGTAAATAAGGAGTTATTGATTCATTGTTTTAACTTCAAATAGTCAATAATAAACCCATCTCAACCTTGTTTAATCCTGAGATAGAACGCTCAACATGAAATTGATCATTGTTCAGAAATACGAGGAAGGAGCTTGAGGTTCAGGAGAGGATGGTTGAGAAGTTGATCGAGGAGAGGAGAAGATTAAAACAGGAAAGAGAGGATTCATGAAAAAACTGCCAAAATATACATATTTATACATATTCATATATCTCTATTATTATTATACATTTGCAGACATGTGTCATAAATGTACAAAACATTTAATTAGTTTCTATTTAACCCTTTATAATGAAGTGTACTAGAAGCATAGTAAACAGCAAACCTAGCTGTCAATGTGAAACAAGGGGGGGGGGGCTATTGAAAATATTCCTCCACTGGATTTTTGTTACAAGGAATTTGGTCAATTTTTTGTCAAAATCATGACCAGCTTGTGTGGATAGCAGATGGAAAATGTGTGAATAATGGAAAATTTTGTGGGAATAACTGGCGCCGCGCGCCGCGCCTCAGGGAAATTTGTTTTAAAACTCCTCTTGAAAATCAAAATTAAAGGGATAGAAGGTGCCCCTGCTCTCCCTTCTTGTGCTCTTAATTTTTCCAGGGGGGGATGTCCCCCAGTTTTCCAGGGGGGATGTCCTAACTCCCCCCCTCCTTTTAAGCCGCCTCTGTTTGAAACTAAGAGTTGTCGGCAAAACCGTTCCGTTGCACAAATGTACAGAAAACTGTGGAATTTTATTGTCATCTTTCACATTTTTTTAGTTATGAAATTTTACTAGAAACTTTGTAATTTGTAATAATCTTTTTCGGAAATTTTGTGGGTTACATTTAAAAAATAAATCGTCATTAAAATTCCAAAATTTGTAGCGATATTTTATAATGAGAAAGAAGACAAAATCTGCAATGTTTTCTGTAAACTGAGATGAGATTTTAAAAGCTTAAACCCTAGTAAAACCCAGTCTTTTCGTCTGCTTAGACCCAAGTAAAGCTCAAGCCGAGACCCGGGTTTTGGATGGCCTTGAGTTTTGTAAGAACCAACCATCTTGGGTTTTTCTCTCTTTAAGGCTCGAGTCTTCAGCAGCTGATGATTGTGAATTTCGTAAAATCTTTTTTATCTGTATACATTTAAAATCTTGGGAATTATTTGTGGTGTCAAATTTTATTAAATATATAAAATAAACATACTATGAAAATAATGTATCTCCATAAAGACTGAATTTTCGAAATTTACATCTCCTTGTTACAGCTGATCTGACGGCATTCTGTCTGCTACATAGAGAAAGCTTGCAAAACAGTCTCTCATTGGTCGAATCAGAACCAATCCTGACTTGGGTTCTATCTAAGCCCGAGTAAGGGTTTTCCTCGGGTTTAAGCTTTTAAAATCTCATCTCTGTTTACATTGTCATTGTAATCTTAGATATTGTATTTTGTGACTAATTTACATATTGTGTTCTTAAATATTTAGTTTTTACATCTCTTGATAAACAAGGTATGTTCAATAAGTTTTTTTAAAAAATTTTCCTTTAACAGACTTTATTCATCAAACATTTTATTTCTTTGTAATCCGCCTTTTCGTGGAGTTTTTTTTAGCTCCGTTGTCACAGCACGGGATTGTACAGGGTGTCCCAAAAAACATGGGAATTCAGTGACGAATTCGATATCGTCTTTGTTATGAATTAGCATTGTAATACCTAATTTCAAAAGCCATAATATTATTATGTCTGCTAGAGTTTATTTAATGAAAAGGGTAAAAGACTGAAAAGATGTGTCTATAATGTCTCCGCAAGATGAAGAGTGAATATGGACAAGTTTACTCTGTTTGTATACTGTAATTTTTTTTGTTTTACTAAGTACAACCGGTTGCAGTCAAAACATAAACAAACAAAATGTAAACGTAGCAGACGAAACTCTTACAGATTACAGCTTTCTCAGTAGGTATCACTATACTAAATCAAAGAATTATTCATAAAGACGATATCGAATTCGTCACTGAATTCCCATGTTTTTTGGGACACCCTGTATTTAATTCAAACCAGGGAAAGGAGACACTTGGGATTCTCGATACACAAAAAAATCGTGTCTAAAACATTCTTAATATAAAGCAGATACCCTTGACATGAACCAAAATGCATAAGAGGATAATATTATGAACAAGGCACTAGTCTACAAGGACTAAAAGAGAAAAGTGTAAGGGAGAGTGTTGGCAGTAAGAGGAAATGTCTGAGCAGAAAAAATCCTCAAAAACCCCACAAACAATCGACACAATTGAACTTGTTTCTCAAACCAAATTCGCAATACTTCTTTGTCGATGATTTTTGATGAGTTTGACATGCTATGGTGCTGAAAACTAGTCTGTAAATTCCTAGGAAAATGTAGAATACACTATAAAAACCTTCAAGGACCCTTTCTACAATAAAGGCTTACCCTCCTTTGACTTTTTAAGGTTACACAACCTCTGGAACACGCTTAAATGGATAAATTTAAATCTGTTGATAAGATATTTAGGCTGTAACAAGCATCGTTAACGGGCTCCGAGAGAAAGCTTATTGCGTCCAACATATTATCTGATCGACATTAGCTGGTCTGAAAAATGAACGGGTAAAAATGTAGTGAACTTTTAAAAAAAAAATTAAAGAGCTGAGACATCTTTGAAGTATCTTTAAAATATTTTTTTTTTGTAAAACTTACTAAACATCCCTCGTAAGTATACAGTCATTGTTGAAATTGTATAGCTCAAGTTATTGACTGACAAATAAGTATAACGTTGCATAAACCTTTGATATTTCAAATTTATATTATTTCATCTAATAGAATTCCTAGTTTGAGATATCTAAGGTCTACAACAAAAATTTTGGGTCAAAGATTTAATTCTTTAGTACACACTAAGATAAATATTTTTACACAGTACAGTTCCAATTATTGTATGAATAGATTTTCAATTTAAGATATGATAAAATAATCAAAATGATGAACTTGTATAATTATTTAAATCTTTTAATTTTTCAAATTTTGTGTTCATTAAATTTTGTGATACATTGAAATGACAATGAACTCCTAATCTGCAAACATCTTGGATGAAATACTCTAAATTTATTAATGCTACATAGAAAAATACTGCAAAATTTACAATGTTAGATTAATAAACTGATCAACTTTAAGATTTCTTTAAAAGTGCTTGAATCTCTGACAAACTCTTGTTATCTGTATCAGGAAGAAATCTTAAATAAGGTTGTTAATCATTTTCAGTTTTTCTTAAAGGTGAAACTTTCATGATTTTTAAACTCACCACTTTTAAATGACATTTATAAAATTATTTTAAAACTTACTTAGAAACAAATATTGCACTGAGGATTGTGGCAAAGACATGAGTAAAGAATAAAAGAGGGAACCCCAAAACAGCAAGAATATGGGGATAGACCTGAAACAAAGGAACTGACTGCTTGTCTAACATTGGTGCTATGGAAACGCCTCAACACGGAAACGGACCCAAAAAAACGGAAACCTCCCCAAAATGATTTTTTTGAGGCATTTCCTGTTTTTTCAAAAATTATCAGAAATCCCTTAAATCTCAATTTTAGAGGAATTTCCAGTTTTTTTTATCCATTTCCACGATTTTTAGGTCAGATTCCGGTTTACACCGGTCTTATATTTTTGAGGGATTTCACAATATTTTCGATCTGTATCCTCATTTTTTGGGTCCGTTTCTGGTTTTCAGAAAAAGTTGTAAAATCACATTTTGTTGATTGGTTTCCTCTTTTTTGGGTCAGTTTCCTCTTTTATTTTGGGTCCGTTTCTGATTTTCAGAAAAAAATTGTAAATTCTCAGTTTGTTGATCGGTTTCCTCTTTTTTAGGGTCTGTTTCCAGTTTTCAAAAAAGTTATAAATTCTCAGTTTGTTGAACGTTTTCCTCATTTTTGGGGTCTGTTTCCGGTTTTCAAAAAAAGTTTTAAATTCTCAGTTTGTTGATTGGTTTCCTCTTTTTTTGTGTCCATTTCCCCATTTTTTGGGTCCGTTCCTCATTTTTTGGGTCCGTTTCCGGTTTTCAAAAAAAGTTTTAAATCTCAGTTTTTTAACAATTTAAAACTTTTTTTGAAAACTGGAAACAGACTCAAAAAAAGAGGAAACTGACCCAAAAAAGAGGAAACCGATCAATAAACTGAGAATTTAAAACTTTTACTGAAAATCGGAAATGGACCCAAAAAAAGAGGAAATGGACTCAAAAAAAGAGGAAACCGACCCAAAAAAGAGAAAACCGATCAATAAACTGAGAATTTAAAACTTTTACTGAAAATCAGAAACAGACCCAAAAAAAGAGGAAACGGAATAAAAAAACGGGAAACAAATCAAATGTAAATATAGCAGAAACCGGCCCAAAATATTCGGAAATCCCTCAACACTTTTTAGTTTTAGAGGGATTTCCGATAATTCTTGAAAAAAGAAGGAAACGGACCCAAACTCACTTTTGGATCTGATTCTGTGTTGAGGCGTTTCCATAGCACCCTAACATTTGTTATAGCGTACATCTTTGCATCATGGTACTGCTGATGTTATTAAGTGTGTGTGCACTATCAAGTCATGCAAACATTTATGCAAAGAAACAATATAAACTCCCTTCTTTAAGTTTACCAATGTTAAACATACATAGACTTTAGACTACTTTAAAATAATACTACACATTCAATGAGTTTATATGAGTCAAGAAAATCTGGGTGATAAAAGCAAGGTTAGGTTAGGTTAGGTTCAATCATGCTGGGTATACTTTGAACCCAGCATGATTGAAGAGCTTGATGTTCTACACCCACTTATTATGCTTGATATAAAAATAATTTCATGCTTGATGAAAAAATAATAAAGAAATTCAATACTTTTTCCAGCAGAAAAATAGTACCTTTAAAGCTATGGCTGTAACAATCATGCGAGATCCTTCCCCAGCAGCTCCTCCAATACTCTTATCCTCAGGAGCCAGAAGCTCTCCTGGTAGGGTATAGACAACACTGCCATACCCAGCACCAAATCCTGTATCATTGAAGAGATCGGTATCAATCCTTATTTTAAGTAAACGATTTAGTTCACTTAAAAGAAAAAAAACATTTAATATGTCTTCTTTTTGAGATTTACCATGAAAACTGAATGAATCAACATCTATATATCTATAAACTATGCTTGTTTAGAGGTTTGTCTGTTTGTTTGTATCCAATAAACATTTAGCAGCTAAAACAATCATTCTCAAAATTTTTGAGGCACCCAATGTGACCCCAGGGAAGGTTTATTTCTCAAAGAGAAGATGCTCACAGATAGAGCCACAAGTAAGAGTTGAAACAGAAGATTGGCGCAAAGAGTGTTAAAACCCCAGTGTTGTAAACAGAAAAAATACCTAAGGTTATTCCAAATACTCCGATCATAAAAAAAATCTGAAAAATAAAATGTTTCAAAATATTGAAAAACTACAAACAAGCATATGTTTAAATCTTTTTATAGATTTTATAAATACAACTTTTTCATCTTATATATCTATATGGTGTTATTAATCCTACTGCATTTGAGGAGGGGGGGGGGGGAGATTATTTCTCCTCATTGCTTTTAAACTCCAAAATGCTCAAATAAATATAAAATGATACATAGAGATATTTATAAAGCTTAGGGGTTCAAAATAAAAATAAAAATATAAGCATTAACTAGTGGATATAGGTGTTCACAATTTTAAGCAAAATACCAACCTTTGACAGAAGCACATAATAACTCTCATCACACGAAGTTTTCTTTATCAAATAGGAGATTGATATTAAGCCTGAAATAAAAAGATTGGCTCAAGTAACAATTTAAAGTTTTCTTAAAGATTGTCTAAACATTAATTTAAAATTATGAACTTTAAAATATCTACTTCTTAACTATCAACTAGAAGAAACTGTCATGATACAAGTTTACAAGTTTTATCATTTATTAACCTGAAGAATCTATTATGAGATAAGCTCCCATTAGTATTAACCTGTGGAAACTATCATGATAAAAGCTCCCATAATTATTAACCTGAAGAAGCTATCATGATACAAGCTCCCATAATTATTAACCTGAAGAAACTATCATGAGATAAGCTCCCATAATTATTAACCTGAAGATACTATCATGATATAAGCTCCCATAAGTATTAACCTGAAGAAACTATCATGATATAAGCTCCCATAAGTATTAACCTGAAAAAACTATCATGATATAAGCTCCCATAAGTATTAACCTGAAGATACTATCATGATACTAGCTCCAAGAAGGAACTGACTCTTCTTCTTCAGCTGTCTAGCAATAAACAAGCTAGCTGTATATCCAAATGCTGATCCTAAAAAAAGAATTACAGAACCAAATTCTTGCTGGGCTGGGCAAAGTATTTTACAACTTTTCCAGCAATTAAAATCTAAATTGTACGAAAACGTTAGTAACAAAGCAAGACTTAACAACATTCATAGTATACTGTATTTTTGCTTTAGTGGCAAATTCTAAACATATCAATTCATAATAAATTTCAAGCTGTCATGGATACAACCCCCAACATTAAGAGTTAGTTTGAGTGACTTACCGCAAGGAATGAGAATCATTATAGTCTCAAAGGGAATTAAAAATCCAAATTCAGCAAACATACTGAAGCAAAAATTATCAACTTTTAAAAACCTTGCTGTAGTTTAAATTGAAAAAGAAAACTAAAGGTTATGTAAATTATAGTTTTTCAAAAGCCAATTTTCCTTGGTCCATAAAAGTTGACAGGCACATCTCGACCAACAAGCCCTTAATACTTAAAAGGTTTTGATGGAATAATGCAATAAGTTAATTTACATTGGTTCTAGGCTCTGTGGTTCAACCACAGTGCTATTTATTTTTTCAAAACTTAAGAACTTTGAATATAACCAACCAAGCTCAGTATTCTACTTCTAAGTGTACTGTTAAAAAAAACAAATTTACTAAGCTTTAATTCAGAAAAAAGATAAAACCTTATGTGTACATTGAGGTAAATTCCCAGTACTTACCAATTGATCCAAACAAAGCAACAATTATTCCAAAAGGAAGCAAGAAATCAGAAGAAGTCCAGCGACCAATGCAAGACTTAAAAAAAGATTTAATTGTTCACAAATAAAAATGTTGTCAAAATTTCTTTAGATTAATTTAGAGATTCAACCTTGCAGGCATTATTTTGTTTGGTGATGACTGAAAGAATATTTATTAGCTCTTCTTCCACACCGCTATAGTTAGGACCTCTGACTAGTCTGAATCAAAGGGTTTCAATTTTGCAACACTGTTTTGCTTATCTGTATGAATTTAATTATCTGTTTATTGTTTTCCTTTGTAAATAAATGATAAACTTGCTGAATTGGTCAAGCCTAAATTTTGTGTAGGACATTACAGGAATATGGCATTTCTTTAGATAACATATGATTTTTTTTAATGAAGAAATGAAACAATTGTTCATGTATGCAAGATCATTCTCAAAGCTTAATATCTTAAAAACAATCTCAAATTATTCAGAAACCTTTACAATTGTCGAATCTTTTATATGCAGGAATTAATGGTGACTCATGAAACAGAAGTGCATTATCATTTGGTAGCTTTTGTCAAATCATAACTTGAATATTTTCTATTCTATTTTTAAAGTCTTAAGAAAGTACTGTGATTGTAGAATTTAAGGTATGGTTACTTCTACTAAACTCCTCGCCTTTCTCTCTGAGTCAGGGCAGTATGGAGAACCTGGAGATTGGTTAGTTCACCAGGGAACCTTGTATAGGATAGACATTAGAGTTAAGCTCTGTTAATCCAACCAAGGCCTGGAGACCTGCACTTTTAGACAGCTATTGGACTGTTGTTTCTTTATCATGCTTTGCAGAGAACTAAGGAGGACACCAGCCTCCTTCCCTATCATTATACATGAATATGCATCCTCAGAATACTCAGCAGCACTTATGATATCAGAAGCTAAACCTGATATTGGAGATGCTGGTCTATACAAAAAGCTATTCACATATCTGGAGCAGCCTGAAGATTCAGTCAGATCTATGACTCCAAGAGCAGGTGCTGAACCTGATATTGGATACACTGCTCTTTACAGACAACTCTTCACAGACAGCTCTACACATATCTGAAGCAGCTAGAATATCCAGTCAGACCTAGGACTCCAGGAGCAGAAGCTAAACTTGATATTGGAGGCGCTGCTCTTTACAGACAGCACTTCACATATCCTTTGTAGAAGCAACTGAGGATCAAGATGATCTTGATGCAGGAGAGCTGCTCTTTACAGACAGCTCTTCACAGACTGGTTGCAAGTCCAACCAAGAAAGCAGCTGGAAATGAGACTCTGGGAGCAGCTCTGGTAGTAAAGGAAGTAGCTGGGAATGTAGTAGAAGCATCTCATGAACCAGAGCAGCTGAATGAGATAGTGGGGTTTGAGGATATGCTCAGACAGACCCTGAACTGGAGCAGCTAAACCATGGTTTCCCAGATACAATAGAGAGCTGTTAAAAACAAGAGTAACCATTCACAGATGTACCTAACAAATAAAACTATGAAGCTGTTAAATCCTATTCATTTATACTCCTGAGAGATGTCTATTAAAAAAGGGGATAAAAAGGGATGCAAATGATTAATCTCAAAAAACCTAGGATTTACATCTGGATTGTAATCAATTGAACCCATTAAATATTACATGATACCTCAGCATTTCTTCTGCTTCAATCATTTTGCCATTTCTAAAAAATAAAAGTTAATGTTTTTTAAACTTTTTAATTTAGATATTTTCTAGGAAATTAATTCAATTAGTGTGTAATTACTTCTTGTTCATGTTTCTGGAGATAAAAAATTATACAAACTGACCTTCTTTATGCACTCCAAAAAGTTTATTTATGTTGCTCTTTCAGAGCCCTCGATTTAAAAGCTTCGGCTCGAGCCGTAATTCCTTAAACCCGACTTTAAGACCCAACTCTGACTACAGCTTGTGTCACGTGATTGACAGCTGCGAGATCTTAGGCTCAACTTAAGGAGTTAAGCCCAATGAAAATAAAACCGACCTTGGTTGGTTTTAGTGAAGAATAAGGCTCAATGTTGGGTCCTCTTTTCATCAAAACCCGGAATGCGCCAATTCCAACTATGAAAATCCGCCAAATACAACATTAAACCGGTTTTATGAACTAAACTCTGTTGAAAATTAGAGCAACTTAAATCCGAAAGCCTGAGCCGTAAATAAGGCCAGGGGCGGACACAGGGGGGTGGCGGATGTCCTAATCCTTAAATTTTGTTCCTAATTCCTGAACAATCTTTTTATTGTTCCTAAATTCCTGTCCTAATCCTTTAATTTTGTTCCTAATTCCTGAACAATCTTTTTATTGTTCCTAAATTCCTGTCCTAATCCTTTAATTTTGTTCCTAATTATCAATTTTTTTGTTCCTAAAAAATCTTGCCCCCCCCTCACTTAAATCCTGTGTCCGCCCCTGAATAAGGCTCAACAACAGCTTAGACCTGAGTCGAATTTTCTTGAATTTTTTAAATCGCCGGCTCAGGGAGATAATATCAATCATGATGGTTAATTGTAAGAAAAATCCATTGGCTATTCCTTAAAGTAAATTTTGATCAAGGCCTAGACCACTAGTAATATGATGTATTCTACCCCTCTTATTTTAATTAAATATTAAATATACCTGAGAAGCCAGTGTGGAGAACGTACAATAAATGGAGATAAGAGTAGAAAACTGAGAGAAAGTGTTATTCCAACTAATAACAAGTATTCTGGTGGTACTAATATGTTTACAACGTACAGAAGCTAAAACATTGAACGAAATTAAGTGATTTATAATTGATAATTCTAATCTTTCAATTCCTACATCATTCTGATGGTGTAAATCTCTGATAGTATAAATAACTTTTACCATAAATTTTCAGCCCCAAAATGTTTCAGGATTCTGAAAGATAAGTTACCAAATTACTTCCAGCATTGTTTTATTCAACTTCAAATTATAATAATCCCCCCTGCTTAAGTTGCAAGGATATAAGGTTTACAAAGTTAGTATGTAAGGCAAGTAATTAGTTCATTTACTATAATTTGTTCCTTTAAATTTACCAATTGTCCATAGCTTTTACAGATACTGTTCAAAATAGCAAGAACTAGAAGAGGAAACAGGTATTAGTCAAAGTAGTTATAAGAAAGACACAATGCATGTTTAAGGAAACTGACTTTCTGCATTTATATTTGTCTTTTCTTATATTTGAATACTTTTAACATTTTAAAGGTTCACCAGATCACGCCCAATTTTTAATGGGACCAATTATGACCATTTTACATGACAATTATTTGTTTAACATTTTTTAATTTTACTTTTTGGAACAAAAAGTATTAACATTTCTTATTGTGTTTTTTGTGAGAAACATACATCTGTTTAATTTTTTTAATCACATATTAGTGTTTTAATGTTATCCTACCTCCTCTTAATCTTATAGTTGATATTTCGCTTGTTAAAGTGTACGCGGGCATCCTTCCTAAAGTTAGATCTTTTAAATGTTTCAAGTGTATGATAAATTGAATACAGTGGCCGAATTTAAAGAATTTGAACGGCGGTTTAAATTTAATCCGCGGCTTAAATATGGTTGATTCCACTTAAAATTGTATCAAATGTTTCAAGATTTAAGCCGGCGCTTAATTTAAACCGGGTTTTGGCAGATTTAAACCGCGGCTCAAATTCTTTAAATTCCATCTCAGGGTACGCATTATGAAAATCTCTTAATGTTAATTTGCCAGGGTGATTGAATTAGTTTATTTCTTGCTAATTGGAAAAACTACGTAAACAAACAAGAGTATGGTTATACATTACTAGGAGTTTGAATGTACATTGCATATAAATGTACATAGAATGAGTATCATACTCTGGCCACTTTAATTTTTTTAAATATTCTGAAGTAATGGAATCTGGGGTAAACAGTACTAGGAAAAATAACACTCCCTCATAGTCAGACAGGTAGGTCAACATGATGCACTCAAAACACGGACTTACAGTCCCTAAATTAACCCATAGATACCCATATGTGTTGAGTTGGTGATCATTCTTTTAACTTGTCTCAATAGTCTTTATAAATTGTAATTGCAATTTATTATGAATATTATTATTTTTTTAGAAAATATGATGGCTCATAAGTATATGAGGAACACCTTTATCTTTAACCCTATCCCCGCTGGGGTACTTGAAAACCAGGATACGCTGGGGGGGGGGGTCAATTTGCCCCCCCCCCCTCTAAATCCCATGTTTTATGTCCAAATATGACAAATGATACATCATTAGAAAGCTCTTGTGCTCTACTTTTAGAATCTGCAAAAAAATTTGCAAATTTGCGAAAATTGAATTTTTTATCGCAAAATCCAGTTTTATAGTAAAAATGTTTGCAAAAAAAAATTTGTCCAAAAAATGACAAATTATGCATTTTTGAAAAGCCCTTGACCATGCCATTTCAAATATGCAAAAATTTTTGCAAAATTTTAAATAACCTGATTTTTAATCAAGAAAAATTAAAAATGTGCAAATTTCCTTTGACAGGTTGTTTGCAAAAAATTTGCAATTTTTTTTTCGCAAAACTTGTGCAATTCGTTTTCTTATGTCATAGGCTTTCCAAAAAGCTAAATTTTATCAAAATCTGACAAGTGAAAGTGGGTCAAAACAAAGATTTAGTTTGCTACAGGCAAAAGCAGTCATTCAGGCAGTGTGCCTGAGGACTCAGGCAGTTAGTATTAAAGCCCGGTTTTAGGCCTAAAGGGAGGGCTTTGGGTACGTAAGAAAAGTCAGAAAATTTCAACAGCCTCAGACCAATACTTTTTGAGTTATGTAAAAAAAACTACAGGGGGGGGTCAAATTGACCCCCCCCCCCAGCGGGAATAGGGTTAAAAGAAAAGCAAAAATGGACAATCACTAGCTCTGTGTGCATTTTCAATACCTAAACCTGCTGAGAACCCATTCAATAACCAACCAGTTAGAAGAATAGGGAAATTGAGACCAACCAACATGATAAAACAAGATCCGCTCTGCAGTAGGTTCACCAGGATCAAACATCTCTTTCTTAATAATATCTTTTTCATTATCTTGCTTAAAACCAAACCCTTAAAAAGGTGTTGTCTCCCACTAAATACACGGTTTTACAAATTGTGAAGGGCTTGTTAACATTCTGTTAAGGATTAGCATATTTTGATGATCGAAAGTTCCATTAAGTGAACTGAACTGAACTGAACTGAACTGAACTGAACTGAACTGAACTGAACTTGGATACTTTATATTAGTTCTGTTAATTTTAATATTAGCAACAGTTATAAAAAATTAGAATTTTCCAAGCTTTGTTTAACTGTTTAATTGGCTTTGGTCATTTTTAATAATTTTAAATTCCACAATAGATTTTATTTAACAGCACAAATGATTTTATTTAACAGCACAATAGATTTTATTTACCAGCACAATAGATTTTATTTACCAGCACAATAGATTTTATTTAACAGCACAATAGATTTTATTTACCAGCACAATAGATTTTATTTAACAGCACAATAGATTTTACCTTCCAATGCATTCACTGAGAGGACTACTTATCAGAGAACCAACAAATATCATCAGAACATTTAAGCTAACACATGTAACATATATTTGTATAGTATGTATTCAACATATCTGGCTGTTGGAAATGAAATAAAGATCATGTTTTGTAGGCGTGAACAAGCAAAACTAAAACAAATCATTGACATTGAATATCTGTTCTATTTTTATGATGTAAATACATTTTATACAGATATATACAGATAATGTTTGATACTAATGATTTGAATTAAGCAGGAGCACTCTGGCAGACTCTCTGCCTCTCTACCACCTCAAGCGATGGATTAACACTCCTCAATCGCTTCTTTTTAACAACTGCCTGCCAATTGGATTGGCTTATACAACTAACTCGATGGTGCAAACATTTACAATTGAAATAGAATATGGGATTGAAGCGTTTTGGCAGATTTAAACCGCGGCTCAAATTCTTAAAATTGTATACTACGATGGACCCCATTTTAGAAACTTTTATCAAATAGATGATCAAGTACAATAGGTGGCAACAGAGAAATTAACCAATTATACACAACGTCACAAGTGTCAAATTTAACAAGGAAAACGAAATTGTCTCACATTAGTTGACATGTTTTCCAAGATTAAATAAAAAAGTGTAAAAACAGAAACTAAAAAACACATAAAATTGCATTTATTTTACTGTAAGAAAAGCACTTTATTCTAAAATTATCACTTGTGTTAATAATTTTGTTGGACACAAAAACTGAATTGACACTTGTGACGACAGAATACAACTGTACTGAAAGTGTGCAAATTCTACGTTGCCATCTATTGTATTAGAATCTATTTGACTTTTATAAACTTTTCAACTTGATTTTCTAAAGAATATTTGAATTTTTATTTATTTATAATTTTCTATAAATTGACTCTCATGATCAAAATGTTAAAGTGACTTTTAGAATAATTTCATGTAGTATGTTTCAGTTATAGAGACACATGTCCAATTCACAATGGTGCACTTTAAACCTTTGACCAGACAACAATAAGGTGGATACCCTCATTTGTTAGATGTAGATTGAGTTCACGGGAGACTCAAGATTACAAGGAAATTTCTTGCTGAATGAATAAGAATATCTATGCAATCCTTGATCAAACAAAGGTTTAAAGGGTATTGTTGTAAATCAGCCATGCCACTCTATAAATGGGAGGTCACTTGAAATTATTTTTACAGTCCCTTTAACATGAAGAATTTTCTTATATTTGAATTATGAGGAATAAATAAATGCAACAACCTTGTGATATGGAATAGTCACACCAGCATAAACAAAGCAGAATCCCAACAACAGATTATGAATACAGAGAACTGATGAAGTGATGAAGAGCCTAGTGTTGCAAGCAGTTTCCTGCAATTCTTGAAGAGATGCCATGTTCTTCTGTGTATTAATTCAAAACTTATATATTTTGTTTTGATAAAAATAATTGGTTAACTAAATATTCTATTTTTACCCTACAGAATTTAAGGAAATTCACAAAAAAAGACACAATATCATATTTTCTCTACTTTTATACATCAAAGCATGACTTTATTCAGCCAAGTAGCCACAATTTGTCATTCATCTTGGACACACCTGACATTAAAAATTATCTTGATCGGAACATAACATGAATGAGAACAAGAAATTAGAACTTATCCTAGATATCTACACATTATTTAGCCAATAACGTAAATAACTGTTGTTCCTTTGTCTTCAAATTAATCAACCGCAGTTACACTCCATGAGTAATGAATAATCTGCAGTGTATAGTGTATAGTGTATAGTCATCCTCTTATCAATAAAAATGAAACAAACACCTTTTACACTTGGAACGCACTTTTATTGCTCTGAACAATTGTATATTCTTATATAATATCTAAATAAACATGTAATCCTTCCTTAAATTATAATTACAAAACAAATTATTTTCTATAGCCTAATGGACAACAAAAATCAGTAATTAAATAATATGAAATTCAACAAATCAAATCCTTTTAAAACCTTTAATAAAACCAGAAATATTGTTTTTTTTTTAATTTCTAAATTAATTTTGTTATCTTACATCTGTTTTCAAACAAGACTTTTATCTGCATTGAATAAGTAAAGCTACTTTCAAAGGATACCGGGCATGATATGAGACCAGTGTACATGTTTAATGTTCCATTGTCATTTGTAAATTTTCTAATTGTAAATTGATATTTTTTAAACAAGCAAAAATAACTTGTAAATTGTAAATTGTATCACCAATAATTTGTTTATGTTGGCAAACATAAATTGTAAATTGTAAATTGTTAACCCTAAACAGGCAGGGGGGGGGGGCGTTTACCCCCCCACTGTAGTTTTTTTTTGTGCTAGCACTCTTATTTTTGACACTATCACCATGAAAATTTGTGAATTTTAATGAATAGTAATTTAAAGGATTTTTTGATAGAAAAATATTTTTTTTTAATTCATAGGGTAGGGAACAGGGCAGAAAAAAGTTGTCTGTGAAAAAAAATCTAAAATAGCCCATAACTTTTGTGCGACAAAAACTATATTTTTGAAAAGCCCTTGAAAAATGCATGTAGAAACATGTGTCACAATTTGATATTTGTTAAAAAAAATTTCATTTTTTTTACCCTTTTTTAGATATTTTTTTTCCACCCTCCGTAGCACCCAATCTATTAAAGTTAACGGTCTGATTTTTTTTCTTTGAGCTGGCCATGAAAAATTGGGCTATGAACATGCATTTCAACCCTATACCTATTCTCTAAGGCCTTTTTCTAGGGGGAGGGCGCCAAACGCCCCCCCCCCCAGGCTATACATAGATTCAGACCCCCCAGCCTTTATAGGGTTAATGCTTGAGTAAATAATAATTTTTTTGATGACAAAAATAAATTGTAAATTGTAAATTCTAAATGCTTAAGTATCACCAATAGTTAGTTTAAGTTGGCAAACATAATATGTAAATTGTATGAAAGATTTATTAGTATTATCATGAATATACACACGTATCATTGTTAAAATTAATTGTTAATATTTTGTACAAATAATGTTTGATTAATCCAATGGTGAGATCATCAGTTTGTCTCTAATTACTTTGGAGAGGTTAGGCTTTATGTTATTGGCATGAAACCACTCAGTATACCCAATTCGTTCCTTAATAGACAACGGAGGAAAAAATGGTGTCTTCTCTGTTCTTTTTTTAATTTTGTTCAAGCCAAACAAATGTCTGCTCTGCAGATTCAGTATTGGGGCGAGGAAAAGTCTTCCTCAAATTATCAATTATAACAGAAGCTGTGATTTAAAAGCTTGGGCTCGGGTCATAATTCCTTAAACCCAGCTTTAAAACCCAAAGACCCAACTCTGGCGACAGCATTTAGTATTGTTGTAATCATTTAACTCAAAATTAGATACATTTTGCATTGCATGTGAACGCAGTATTCTATCTGTTCCTGTAACTTCAGGAATTGATTTAGTTAAACATGGTGATTTAGTTGCAATAAAATCAAGCAGTTTAGTCTTCTTGACCTGGTCTTCTTGAGTGTAAGAATCAACAATACATCCTGCATACTTCAAGAATCCTTGGAGATCAATAGGTATGCTTGAAATAAAATTGATCATTGGTCTACAGAACCTTACTCCCATCATAAAGATTAGAATAAAACCTCTGAAACCCAACTTCCCTTCTCATTCTCTGGAAGAACTTTCCCAGCTCCAGAGTATTCATTCTAGCCAAAACGCTATAAGTTATAAACCTGAGCCGAATTTCTCCCAATACATAACATCTCAGGGCTTCTGGAACCTCCTCCCACCTGCAATCATCTCCAGTAGATACATTCTCGTTCAGTAAGGTACCATGGACTTGTACACTAATAGCAGTCGTATTCTTAGCCTGGAAATTGTACCCAGCCAAGACAGCCAAAGAAGTTAGCTCCACGAACCCTCTCTCCATCCTAACCTCCACTCCTGAGATTGAAGAATACAACTCCTCCACTCCCCGGATATCTCTTTGGATTGATAATCTGGCAGATACAGGGAGATAACGGAGTATTTCAATAATCCCTGACTGTACGCTCATCTCCTTGAAAATATATTCCTTATCCTTTTTGTAACTCAGATCCAATGAGATTATACATGTCCAAGAGACTCCATTCCCAAACATAATCTTTTCTTTCAATGATCCTGTCAATAATCTCATCTGAAGTTTCACTGGTTCGAAAAAACCATAAGTTTCATAAAATTCTGACATTTTCCCTACTATTAAGTATTCATCAATCCAGGACAGTTCATCAATCCCTGACATCTCACCAAACCATACTTCATCTGCATCTCTTGTAATCCTTACTGATTCAAAGTTGGGTTTTCTCTATCCTTTCTTCTTACTCAAATTCAGTTCTCCTAGTCCTGGGGATAACTCATTTCTCTCCGGGTCCCACTTAAACCAGGACATCTCAAAAGACCAGGAGAATTTTCCAAATCAGGGTATCTCTTTAACCCAGAGCATTCCACCAAACCAGGAGATCTCTTACCAAAGGATCAAATCAGACGAGGATATCTCTTCAACCTAGAACATCTCATCAATCCAGGGCATCTCGCTAAACCCTACTCCAGACCCATAGATCTCTAGAGTTCCAGAGGGTCTCAACAGCAAGCAAGGATTGCTTACTAATTCCTGGTCACTCGTCAACTCTGTTTCACAACTCGTTTCAGGATCACCATTCATCTCAGTATCACAACTCTTCTCAGGACCGCCACTTTTCTCAGGATCGCCATTTTTTCAGGATCGCATCTCATCTCAGGATCCCAACTCATCTCAGAATCACAACTCATCTCAGGATTGCAATTCATCTCAGGATAGCAACTCATCTCAGGCTCACCATTCTTCTCAAGCTCACCATTCTTCACAGGCTCACCATTCTTCTTAGGCTCACCATTCTTCTCAGGCTCACCATTCTTCTCAGGCTCACCATTCTTCTCAGAATCACCATTCCTCTCAGGATCACCATTCTTCTCAGGATCACCATTCTTCTCAGGGTCACCAGTCTTCTTAGGATCTTTATTATTCTTAGAAGCTCCCTTCATCCTAGGATCATCAATTTTCTTAACATCATAATTTACCCCAAAATCATCAGTCCCTCTGAAATCATCAGAGCCATCATCATTCTTAAAATATCTACTCTTCTTAAATTTTTCAACCCTAAAATCATCAGTTTTATCAGAGCTGTCATCATTCTAAAATTCTTTACTCTTCTTACAGTCGTTATTCTTCCTAAATTTTCCAATCTTAAAATCATCAGTCTTCTTAAAACCATCAGTTTTATCAGAGCTGTCATCATTCTTAAAACCTCCACTTACAATCGTTATATTTCTTAAAACCTTGGGATCTAGGATCCACTAGTAGCTCTGCTACACCCCTG